ACCTCACTTTTCCTTTTACGTTCTCATCTAGGTTTGAGAAGAAATCTTTGTTCTCCGACATGTGGCTACTTGCACCGGTATCTAAATACCAAATACTCGAATTGTTAGTATCATAGTTCTTGGGGATTACCTTGTCTTCATTGAGAAAGACCACTTCATGTACGTAGAGGGCATCGGCTTCATGAGTCTCGTTCATATTTGCTTCTTGATTTTGCATTGGTTTCTCGGGACAAGTCAATGCAAAGTGGCCCGCTTTGTCACATCTCCAACATATTACCTTGGAACGATCTCTTTTTGGTTTTGGTTTTTCTTCCGCAGCTGCTGCTCCTTGGTTTTGGCTATTGAATCTCCCTCGACCCCTGCCTCTACCAAAGCTTCCTCTGCCCCTACCAAAACCTCCTCTGTTTCCGTACCTTCTCTGTTTCCGCCGTAGCCTCCATCACTATTATTTGTAAACAAGAGTTTACTTTGGTCCTCTCCTTGAGTCTCATCCCTTATACGCTCGTCGTATGCTTTTATTCTCCCTACTATGTCTTCAAATCCCGTTGTTTCTAAGTCTAGGACTTGCTCAAGAGAAGCTACAATTTGTATGAACTTGCCTCTAGGGAGACTTGTCAAGAACTTCTTCACCAACTTTGATTCTTCAATTGTAGTTACGAGAGAAGCAGATTGGGAAGCTATTCCCGAAATCTTTCCCTCAAAGTCATCAACCGAGTCGGTGTCTTCCATCTTCAACCGATCGAGTTGTGTCATTAGGGTTTGGAGTCTCGCGACTTTAACATGGTCTGCTCCCTGGTGACGAGATTTGATTGCTGCCCACACCAACTTAGCCGAGCCTTTTTCTCCAATCTGTAGGATGAGGCTCTCCGGGATTGATTGAAATAGAAGGGCTGTTGCTACATCGTCATCGTTCCTCTTTGCGTGTTGATCCTGGTTCTATGGTGTCCCATACTTCGCTTACTCTTAACATGATCTTCATCCTCATCGCCCAAACTGTATAGTTTGTCGATGTTAACATAGGACATTGGATCGATGGGGCTCCAATGTCTTTTGTTCGTATCGGCGGTTCCACGTCTCCCATCTTGGATACGTGAAGCTTTGATCGCCGTCTTCGATCGTTTCTCCTCCTTCAAGCTCTGCTATCAATTCAAAGTTATGATTGCTAGAACTTAGAATATAAAGAACAACACTCCTTTATTTGATTTAGAAACTCTCACAAAACTAAATCTCTTCTCTAAGTCTCATAGAACATCTCTCCATGGACCCTTGTATTTATATAGAGCTTGGACATCTCCCAAGTCTATTAGGATTTGGTTAAACACAAACTCTATCAAGATACTTTATCATATCTAAAACTTATTTGTGAATATCCTCTCTTATCTCTAGAAGCTTCATCTTCAAGAGATAACTTCTTCCTCAAGTCTTGAATCATCCAACATCTGTGACATGGATTAATCAAATACCATGGGTTGGCTAAAATTTTGAGATTTCGAATTTTTAGATATGGACAAGAAATATATACATACAACAGGCCGCATAATCAAAGGAAGTCGAGCTTACATGTGCCTGAATTCTATTTGAAAAAAATCTCCGTTAATCATCCTAGAAGAGAATCCTTTATTCACCTTTTTTCTAGTTAATAAAAAACAATTAAATTCGTTTAACTATAAAATCTAATATGACATCAAAACGAAGTTATATATCGGTTTAGGTTTATAAAGAATGTTAGAGTTTAAATTTTATAATTAAATATATATATTTTTTGTCAACAGCTATATATTAGATTGGCTCAAACAAGCCAAAGCTGGGGAAAATTGTTTACATAGGTGATAAGATGCGACTGGGTACGAACAGTTCGAGCCAGGTAATCTGCTTTCACATTTGCATTTCGAGAAACTAAAGATAAAGAAAAAACATCGAACTCTTCTATGTCACTCTGAATCGCCTCTAGGTATGTTGCGAACGCTGGCCACTCGTGCGGGGAAGACACCATCTTCACCAGCTCTGAGCAGTCTGTGATGAAAGCTACGTCTCTCTTGTCTTGGTCGATCATACATCCCATCGCCCAAATTAATGCTTCGACCTCTGTGTGAAGTGAGGTTAAGCTTCTTCGAAGATTTGCATCTCCCATCTCTTGCATTCCATCATTTGTTCTAGTACAAAACCATCCTATCCCAAAAAAGGATCACTCTCTTTCCATGACCCATCTATGAAACACTGAAACCCATTTCCAGACTGCCCGTTATTATCAGACTTGGAGTGTAAGTGAGCATTCCCCACCAGTTGGTCTGAACCGTCATCCGGTATTTCCACCTATGCTAACTGCCAGGCTTGCTCTTCGTTTTCTGCTAACCTTAAAATCTCAGGTGGGCTTTGATCCACATTATTATAAACTTTATCATTTCTAGCTTTCCATAGATACCAAATAATCCATGGAAACGTGGCTTTATAAACATCTGATGATATCCGCCAAAATAGGTAATCCATGTTTGCATATAGTGAACTTGATGGAAAAACTTCAGGGGCTGTTGGAATCTGTGAGAGAGCCCATGGTTGGCGTGCAGGCGGACACTCAAAAAGGACATGATTAATTGTCTCTTCGGAATCTGCACATCTATCACATCCCACACTGCAATTTACCCCACGTTTTCGAAGGTTTGATGTAACCGAAACACATCCATTTAGTGTCTACCATATAAAATACCTCAATTTAGGAGGACATTTAATCTTCCACGTAAAAACTTTTAACGGTTTAATATCTGGTCCAAAACCACATCCACTAGAATCCTTTGGATTATCAAGACGGGATGTATGATATCCTGATTTCACCGTATATTTACCAGATTTTGTGAAGTGCCATCCCATGACATCTGGGTTTGACAGTTTCCCCAAGGGTAGAGCATTAATCAACTGGACATCCTCCGGATCAACAATAGCATTTAAACTATCTATAATTAAATATTATAATAAATGTTTCTTTCAATGAACACTTATCAGTTAACAATTACAGTATTAATTAACATAGGAATGTTAGGCCAAACTACTCTATCACTTGATACTAACTGGTTATTTTCAAAACGTGCTGAAACGTAAAATTGACTTATTCTAAGTAACAAAGCGTAGTTAAGTTTTCACTTGATACTAATTTGTTCTTTCGAAACTTGTGTTAAAGCATATAAAATTGAGTTAATCTAAAAAAATGGGCGTAGTTAAGTTTTCCAAAATCATATCAAATATCTTTAAAAACATATAGTCCCATGAATATACAATTGTAGTAAGTTGTCTATGGATGCATGGATTAAAACGATGGGTGTATGTCAGCTAAATAATAAATTACGAATAGCCGAATGATTGAAGAATGGAAAATTTTGAGTTGAGTCAATTTTCTGCAGAATAATGATAAAATATTAAAATGGTAAATGTTGATTCTGAAAATCACAAAATGAATTTGTTTAAATGGGGAAAATAAATTCAATTATTCTCTAACAAATTCTGATCAAAAACTCGAAAGAAAAGGGGATTTTATTACTTAGAGACAAAGTTAGGGTTTTTGCTCAAGAACAATTAGGTTTTTGCATAAAGTTGCGAATGCCTAAAATAGAAGACAGACCCCTCTATTTATACGAATTTAGCGGCGGTTTAAAGATATGTAAATTTTCTAAATCTTCAAGGGCTTATCTTCTGATTTTCCTTTCTTTTCGGGATTCTCCTTTTTCTTGAATGAAAAAGGCGGTTTGGGTGATCTCCCGTCTTTGAACCGAGCTCGCCAGGCGACCTCTCTTATCTGGCCCATTAACAGGCCTAACCGGAATTCCCCAATTTAACTAAATTCTTAGTTTAATTCGTAATTCATCCGGTTTAAGCCGGTTTTATCGGAGGTGCTAATTCCTGCACCAACAGTAAAATTTTGGTTTCAATAAATTAATGACGTTTGTTTTTAGTTCTATTTTTAACATGTTCACAGTATATAGAAAAATTACATTTTCAAAACGTTAAATTTTTTAATATATTGAATTTCAAAAATTAGTATAGTTATTATATTTTCAAAACGTAAAAACATGAAAACAGTGTTTTTTTAGACAAAAATTGGCTTAGTTGTTGTTTTGACAAAAATGGTGATTTTTTTGACATTTTTATACACTACACAGTAAAACTTCTATGATTTTCCATAAATTAATAAATACGGTTAAATAATAAATTCTCCAGTTCCAAAAATAGCCCATGTAAAAATTAACAAATTTGATAAAATAATAATATAATATTTTTAAAAAAATCTCAATGTAAATAATTAAATATATGATCCCATTAGTATTAATAACTATATAATTTCTTATATACATACATAAGATAATATACTAATGTATTGTTTTAGTGTTTTTTAAAAAGTTGGATTTTTTTTAGAGAGTGTCTCTAAATTTGTGTTGTATCAAACAATTGTTGTGTTGTGTTTCAAACTATCATAATGTAAGTATCTTCTATAACTTCCTCACTACATTTGCCAAAATTTCATGTAAGTTTTTACAATCTAAATATGTTTAATTTTTATTTTGATACTTTAATAGGTTGTTAAAATACGATAGTTGAGGATATTAATCATAAATTTAAATTTATGTATATTATTTGCGTATATAATTTATATATAGTCGTTGAGATTTATCGTCCAAAGAGTTAGTTTCTCCTAGATAATAAATGTTCAAGTCAAAAATACAAAAGTTATAGTATACAAAACAATGATTTTCTTTAATCAAATTGTTTCAGTTCCCATTTTTCTCTAATTTTAAGATAAGATCTTAAATGATAAAAAACAATTAAAACAATTCTCTCTCAAAGTTGGCAAATATGAATAAAATTGGTACCACTACAATTAATAAAATATTACAGTCTTGATATTATTAATTATAGTGGTTTTACCGTATTATTTTTAATTAGCAATTTATTTTGTAAATTTGCAATATTAGTATACACAATATGCATATGAAGGAGATTCACAGAAATCAAACTAAGAATAAGTACATAATGCTTGTGTAATATAACCAAACACGAAATATTATGATACAACAACACATCGTAATGTGTATTATTCTGCAAGACACAACAACAACAACAACAACAGCAACAAAAAAAGCACACAACACAACGATACCAAGGGAAGGGATACAAATTACATAAGATTCACAGAAATCCACTTAGAATAAAACCCAAATGCTTATTATTTTTTTTAGCAATTGAAATAACAGAAACAAGCTCTACCATGGGTATCTACGTGACACGCTCCAAACTTAGCTTTTTCCGTATTAATGCATCGGGAATTACATCTGCTCGACAGAATGCAAACTCCGCTCGACGAGTCGCTGTACCTTTTACATACCTTAGCCTCCACCACCTTCAAACCTGCGTCTTTAATCATTTGCATAAAGTTTTCAAAATTATAAAATCTCTAATTATATAGAATACGAAAATGTTGTATAAATAAAATCACTGACCAGTTGAAGAGAAGATAAGGAAGTAGAGGCAAAGGAGAGCAACGAGAGTGCATGACTTAGACATTTTCTACTACTTACTTTTTTGGTTGATTACTCTATTGTTTAGTGGTTTGAGATAAAGCGTAACACTAGGTTTTATATAGAGTCACGGAGATGTGATGATTGACGAAGTCTATAGAGTAGTGAACACTTTTTGTAATTATTTAAAGTATGAGATTAAGTATGTAACAGGGTTAAATAAAAAATTTGATACAGAATCGATCCGAGAATATTATCTAAGAAAATAGAAGAATAGGTGAATGACCTAAGAAACTCACGTAACATAAATCTTATATATTTTCAATTCAAGATAAATACTTCCACTTCGAAATTTTTGAAAGTCGCATATAAAAACTTTTAACTCGCATAATATAGACAAAGGGTTTATTAAATCCAAAACTCAATATTTTCACAAATGAATTACGAACTTTGATAGAAAGGTACCAGACATAGAAATCTGTTGGATTAAATCGGGTGAAAACAAGTATTACGCACGGCACTTTTTGATCAGATTATTTGTAGTGCATGGTGATGAAACACACGAATATGGGATGAATGATAAAGGGGAAAATTCCCAAAAAAAACCTCAATTATTTTTTATTTGGACGTTTAATACCCAATTGTTTTCGGTTGGAAGAAAAATACACATATTAATAAAATTGTGCGATTTAATATCCAAACAATTAAATGTTGTTATTTTCATACTGACGATCTCACAACAAAAATAAAATTCCAATTTTACCCTTACTATTTCAATTAATTATTAACTTTTAGATTACGTCACAATAGTTTTTTATTTACATAAAAATTAATTTTATAAATATTTCATTTCTTTGTTATCCCAAAAAAAAATTCAAAAAAATTTTCAAAATAATTTGCAGTTTATTTTACAAATATTTAATTTTAAAAATTAAAAATAAAATTAATTAGCAAAAAATTTAGAAAAAGTAAAAAAAAAAAATTAGCCATTTTTATGAATTGATAAATCTTGAGAGAGACGATGAGATTCGGATTGAGATTTTGTCGAAAATAGTTTCATTCGTGAAGGATTTATATTCGAATAGAGAGTTTCTCACGACGAAAAAAAAGTTCATATTGATGCTCGTTGATATCATATGCATCACGACGAATCAAATCAAATTAGTTTTATTGGCGATGAAGATTTTGGATAGGATTAAAAGGAGATTGCGAATGGTTATCGAATTTGATGGTTGCAAAAGAGGACGACGGAGATTGTTTACCGGTAATTCTCGTAGATATTAATCGAAAAAATTAGAACCGAAGAGGAAACGTCTCTTTGACATTGCAAAGACGGAATAAGATTGTACAAATGACTATTTTTAATATTTTTGATTTTCTGCTAATTTTTATGTTTAATTTTAAAATAAAATAATTATATAAATTTAAAATTTATTTTTTAGGCATCATAAAATAAAGCATTAACAAAATTAATTTTTATTTAAAGAAAAAAAATATCACCTTATTTAAAAGTTAATAATTAATTGAGATGATAAGGGTAAAATTGGAATATATTTTTTGTTGTGAGTTCGTAAGTATGAAAATAACAACATTTGATTGTTTGGGTATTAAATCGCACAGTTTTATTAATATGTGTATTTTTCTTTCAACCGAAAACAATTGGATATTAAACGTCCAAATAAAATATACATGAGGTTTTTTTTGGGAATTTTCCCAATGACAAAGTGTATAAAGTATTGAACACGATTCGTAAATACTCCATCCGTTTCAGACTCTGATAGAAAGGCACCATACATGGAAATTGATTAACTGTTTGATAATTTGGGGTAAACACGCAGATACTACTACACGCGGTATCGATAAGAATACGTAGTTGTCATGAACATACGGAGATGGGATGAGTGAGGAAGTGTATAAAGTAGTAAACACGTTTCGTACTTATTTAAAGAATGAGATTAAGCGTGTAACAAGGTTATATATAAAAAATGATGCAGAATTGATCTAAGAGTATTTTCTAAGAAGATAGAAGAATAGGTCAATGACCTAAAGAACTGATCACATAAGAAATCTTATGTATTTTGAATTAAAGATCCAATACTTTGACACTACAAAAAATTAAAGTCACCACACATGGAAATCGATTACGCACCACGTTTTCGGTCAGAGTTTATAGCGAACACACGACGATAGTGAACACGTTTCATAACTATAGTATAAGATTAACTATGTAACTAACGTAACATATATCTGATGTATTTGGAATCGAAGATCCAATACTTTCACCACAAAATTGTTGAATGTGGCAGATAGAATTTGTTAACTTGCATAGTATTAATTGAGATTGGGTTTATTAACTCCAAAACTTAATATCTTTACAACTGAATTACATACCCTAATAGAAAGGCACCAGGCATGGAAATTGATGAATCGTATCATAAGCTGGGATAAACACACGGATATTTTGCACCGCGGTTTTCGATCAGAGTTCAGAGTGATATCGAACACACGGCGATGTGAAAAGTGACACAGTTTATAAAGTAGTGAACACGTTTCATAATTATTTAAAGCATGAGATTAAGTGTATAGGTGGGAGAAAAATAAAAATTGATGCAGAATATCGACTAAATAGTATTATTTTAGAAGATAGAAGAATAGGTCAATGACCCTAAAGAACTAAGGTAATACAAGTCTTATGTATTTTGAATTCAAGATCCAATACTTTTACCATGAAATTTTTGAAGGTTGTTGATAAAACCTGTACTTGCGTAATATAGAAATTTGGTTTGTTAAATCCAAAACTCAATAGTTTCACAACCAAATCATCACATGGAAACTATGAAATGTTTCTTAAGGTGGGTTAAACACAGATATTACGTACCGCGGTTTTCGTATATTACTATACGACATAGAATCATACATATAAAAGTAGGGTTTCACTCTCCCATGATTGGTCCACTTGGTATTTTTTTTTTATATTTTTTTTTAAATTTACCTCTAATATATTAATCTCTAATTAACTCACTTTAAAACTGATGTGTAACTCCATATTTATATTCATTTGTAACTCCTGCACTAAAATGCATTAACTATTTGAAAATTATATTGACTATAATTTAAACTCTACATTTAAACTCAAAATTGTAACTTCTACCAAAAAATAATAATTTGTAACTCTTACTCAATAATTATAAGAGTTTCACCACTTCTCATCTATAAATATCGGAAAATATCAATTCTCTTATCATTCTCCACCATATTTTCATAGTTTGCTAAAAGCTCATATTTTCTAGAACATTAAGGAATCCTCGACCCCAACATGTTCATTTTCTTCACCAACTCCTATATTTTTCAAAGTTTTACTTTCTATGTTTCATTTTTTTTGACCCCTTAATTCTCGCTTCTCACTTCTATAAAGTCAAAAGGCTTGCTATAAAATAGTATCGTCATAACTGGTTCAACCTCTCTATTTTCGTATTTTCTCTGTGATAATAAAACGTCACCTTTAGGTTAAAAAATTGAAAGTAGTATCAGCCAGCGTTATCCCCTTTTACCATATTTGAGTTTAGTAGAAATATTTATAAAAAGTATGTAGTGATGCGACACTCTTAAGTGGTAAAAGCTTATATCTAATGAAATGTTTACAAAATTTGAAATAAGATTTAAAAAAAACAAGTTAAAAAAAAAAACTATGCAAAAATGAGGAAAACATAAGCAAATTATAATGAAAAAGTTAGACAAGGGAAATTCTTGTAATGATTATTGGTTAATAAACCAAATAGAGGCGTTTAATAGAAATAGATTTATGGTGAATATAGTGCAGAAAGTCTTAAGAATCAAAATAAATAGTGAAGAAGATAATACTTGTTTAAATAGTTAAGAAGATAAAGAGGTTATATATAGTATTTGTTAACATGATATATTTGAATAGAATATATTATGGGTTTAGGCAAAGATATTAATATAGTAAGAAATTAATGCCTGCCAATTAAATGTGTTTCAAATTATTTATCAAATTAACATACAGTCAACATGATATTTAAATAAAATATAATTAATCGTTGTTATTAGAGTAACTTAATTCTAATTAGTTTTTGGTCAAAGCACCAGTCTCTTTTGGATTCTAATTCATATTCAAAAATTTGTTTTTTTACCCTTAGAATAACACACTTAGAGTAAGTGGTTATCGATATGTTTCGTTTCGGAATTAGGATTGTTCTTTTGAATCATACCAATCAATCTTTGATTATTATTATTTATTACCTCATGTCCGTGGTGGTAATTTTTGGTCTCAGGTTGTATCCATTTGCGTGACCTAACCGTATTGGCACGGTTCCTTCTGGATACATTGCAGTACTGACTTGAGCTTCTCATGTTTGTCTTCTTCCTTTTTGAGTTTCGATTACTCTAGGCATCTTAGATGGTGATCCTGTATTATTTTCATGAAAAAATTGTTAACATTGAAATTGAAGAGACAAAATGGCTAATAGTGAAAAATCATTCACTTTGAAGGGTAATTATAGTGTTCAAGTTTTAGTGTTTTTTCACAGAGGGAAAAATATGCGTTACGTAAGAGAACCCGTGAGATGGAGAAAGAACTCGATACTGAGCATGCATTGAAGTTGGAGACAAAGATCATGAGGGGTGACCTGTTGACCAAAGTAAGCAATTCTCAGCCTCACGAACATTTTTGCTGTTGATCTAGCGAGATACTTCATATAAAACATAAAATAATAAAACTAAAAATTAAACAACCTGTAGTTTGTGATATTTTAGAAGTGGATTGTCAAATGCTGGTTGTTTTGCTTTGTCGATGCATTCGACAATATTCCCAACGGAAGTCTTCTAAAAATAAATTACAAAAACAAACAAACGTATTAGTAGAATTTCAAATAAGTCATACCGAGATTCAGAAAATAAAAGAAATTTTGTGTATATATGGATTGATATATAACTTTGGAATCGATTAATATTATATTACTAATAATAAATCCATCATCTTCTACTACCTTCACTATCATCTAGAATCAACTCTAATATCGAGCTATCACCAACCAATGAAGGAATCCTTCATGAGAAATCCTCACATACCAATGCATGA